CGCGCGGTTCGCCGCCTGCCCCTGCCCAACCTGCCGGTGAGCCCCAGCGCAGGCGTTCGGTGTTAGAAAGATCCACACGGGACAGATGGGGAACGTGGTTTTAATCAGCTTTGCCGAGCGCTGAAAGGAGCAGCGTGAGGTGGGCGGCGGGGTAAGGCACGAAGCGGGCCGTCGACTTGAGGGAACGATAGATGATCCATCGCTGGGGTCTCAGGCCGCTGCTCCTGCTCACTGGCACCCAGTGTGCCTCAGGAGCGGGGGCCGGGGGGTGTCCCTCGGTGTACCCTGAGGTAGCGCAGTGTGGGGACGGCGCCGAGCAGCTCCCGGATAGCGGTGTAAAGCTGAGGTAAGCGCCGGGGGATTGCAACCGTGAGATTCAACGAACTAGCTGGAAACCCTCAGGAAAGACGTTCGGACGCTGAAGTCGCGTGCCCTGGTCTTCTGCCTTGTTCCATACGCGTTACCTTAAAACGCAAAGCCGAGCGTCGGCCTCGCATGACGCGACGGATCTGAGATAAGCTCTGCTCAGCGTGTGCGGGCTCGAGTGGGCCTAGTCCCGTTGCCCTCACTTAGAGAGATGTCTTAGCCGTAGCTGGCGAAGGTGCAGGTGGACCTGCTGGCGGAAATTTGGAAGGAGAATTTGAACCCTTAAAATCCCTAGTGGGGCATCGTCTCTGTTGGTGCAAAAGGGCATGGATTGTGTCTGTTTTCTATGGTTTTCAGATACCGGCTGTCACCCACTTGGCCAGAAGACATAGATGTCCCCTGTGACTAAGTCCTTGCATGAGTGTTTTGAAGATGAAACGCTGCATAAACTCTTAAAGCGTACCACCTGAGGACATTGCTACTGACATGGACATCATTATTTATTTACAGATGCTTTAATCAGGAGGAGCTTTTTTGTAAACATGAATTGCTGGGCTCTTTCCTTGAGGTGTCGTTTCTTGTTTCATGCTATTGAAACATTAATCTTAACTTATTATGACTCCTTTGTGTTGGTCAGCTCTCAGGGCCATTTCCCTAGGCTTGAAAATGTGGGAGCTTTCAAAAATGTGTCAATCGTGCCAACTCAAGCCACTTGTGGGCTGCCAGACCGAAGTACTTTTTGTCATAGCTCAGTGGCTGTTGAAAGTATTATGTCCTGCACCCAGAGGTTTTGTGTTCAGGAATGTCCATACAGGTCATCGCCTTCTTCCTACAAACTGCTTCTTTCAGAAGGCCTTGGTACCTGTATCACAGAGGACAAAAAGGACTTGCATCCAGGGTCCTTCAGCAACGCTTCCAGTTTTATTTTTCATAATCGCAAGGATTGCTTCTCTACTCCCCGTTCTCCAAGGCTTGCAGCTTCATTTACGTTAACTGTATGGTTGAAACCTGAGCAAGAAAGTGTAATGTAAGTAGTATTGAAGGTGTTTACTTTCCTGGTGCTCTTAAAAAAATTGATCATTGTAGTCACAGTCATTATTAGCAAGCTATTTAAAATTTTAAAAAGGTACAGTGAGAAACTGTGACGTTTTAAAACTGTATTTAGGTTGGGGCCTTCACAAATGTCAAGACAAGTAGGTTCAGTTTCAGTGGCGTTGGCTCAGATGATAGTTCAATTGCTTTCAGTGGGAACTATCCACACCTAATGTGCATGTCTGTTCTTAAAAGTCTAAACTCGTATCTCTGATTCACATTCATTTCTCTAAAAGCTGCTAGCAAAATACGTTGTCAGGGGTTTGTTCTGTTACTTTTCATGGTGGAAAAAAAGTTCCTTTCATCTACTGCAAAATGCAAAGCCTCCTACTCTTTCTTACCCTCGTTGTGCAGATCATCTTTAAAGTGAAGTACACAAAAAGTGTAGTACTTTCCTTCAGAGATGTCACAAATGTTTTTTGTGTACTTGTGTACATAATGTACTTGTGCTCATAACTTATTCTTAGAATGAAACTAATCATCTGCTCTGTTGTATCATTCTTGATACTTATTTTGCATGCTGCTTTGAAATATTTTGTCTAGGGGTGTGAAAATCATCAGAAACAATAGAAATGTCTACAATTGTAACGGTATGTGTAGAATTATAGTGTGCTTTATACAAAGATAAGTACCTTTAAAAAAAAAATCAATCTAGCCATAGGAGTTGTGGTTATGGAGGGGAAATAAATGAGATCTGAAGAGCAAAAGTGACTTCAATTTGAGCTTCAGTTAAATCAGCTCAGCTGAAGGTATGTGTAAAGGTGTCTCTGGAGCTTTGGCCTAATGTCTTTCATAGACAGCATTTTCTATATACTGTTTGAATCTTGACTGGCAGAGAGTTCAATCCTAGGGTTGTCGTATGCAGTGAGTTCATGTCCACATACATGTGGGCATATCAGAGTCTTCAGCGGAGCATATGCCTACCTTGAAGCAGAAACGTCCTGCTGATTTCCAAGCAAGCTGTTGCAGTGATGTGTTGAGTGAGTTCTATGAAACTCTTCAGTCAATGTGATAGGCTTTTGCTTGCATGGAGCCTAAAACAATGAAATGTATGTCCTTTGTTTCAAACGATTGTGCTGTGCAGAAACCAGACTCTACCGATGTCTGATTATCCATGGACTAGTGTAAAACATTAGCCTTCAATTGCTACTGTGTTAATAACTACACAATATACGTATTCCTGTTCAGTGGGTTTTATAGATCACTTTAAAATCTAAATGTTTTTATTCAATTTTTGTAATAGATCACTTCATTCTTCTGTCTTGTGAGATTGCTGCTACTCAACATGTAGAAATGACAATGGTAGAGCCCAGTCCTGAAAACTGAAGTTGGACAACAGTTATGCCAGGGGTCAGGATGATATGCCACTGTCCAGACTCTTTTTTTTCCACTGTTTACAGGAAGAAGTGTGTTAATTTGTCTGTCTTCATAAAAGGAATACACAGCTCCAGTTGTGGTGAAACAGTAATTGCACACTAATAGCCATTGAATCTTGACTTGGAAGACATCCTACAAAAGAGAAATAGTTCTACAGCAAACTAAGATGTTTTTCCTTTTATTGTGTTGGTTTAGTGACTCCTTCAGCTTGGCAGAAGGAGTTTGACTTGCCAGATGTCCTATATTTTGCAGTCCCTGATGGGGAATTGTCCCCCCTTGATGTCTTTTGTGAGACCTTTTAAGCCCCATTATAACAGCAGAGGGACTTCATGGAACTGGGACTCATTTTGACAAAGTCTTTGCGCTGCCACCAAAACACTAGGAAGATGAGCCACAACCAGCTGCTCTTTTTACCATTAGAATAATTGAAAGTTTAACAAGGTATTTTGTTTGCTGGCAGAGTGCTCTTACATCAAGCAGACCTGTGGTTTTTGGACATGCCGTACTAAATGTGTTTCTTCATGCTAAATGTTGCATGGTCTGACTGCTAGAGGGTACTTAGGGAAGAAGCTAGGAGTGTTGCTGTATAGCATCCCATTGCATCCTTGTAAAGACAGTGATATTTCTGTTAGGCATGTGCCCATGTAAGAAAATAGCAAGATTTTTATGCTAGAAGTTAGTGTGCTGGCTGAAGTGAGAGATGCTGATGCAAGGATCCAAAGTCTGAATGTGCTTTAAAGATTGTGACATTCTGGGGGAGCAAACATGTGGATAATCAGACATCAAGAATTTTCTTCAACAATTTCATATACCAAGTTTTCTTAAGAGAATCTGGGAAAGAATACACTTTCATACAAAGAGAAACGAAACTCAGGTCATGTTACAGATTTATTTGAAGACCTAATGTTCTTCGAAGTAAGATATATAGTATAAATATTTGTAGGTATGCTTTTAAGTCACTGCATATTGGAAATCTTGAAGAAAAGACAGACAATAATGAGAAAACATTGACATTTGTACTCCAGTCTTTAAATTTACTTTCCCTTTAGGCAGTAAGTGCAATAAGTGAGCAGAGCTCTTGTCCCTGAATTTTAGTCTTTCCCCATGCTGCCTCTCTTACTGCATGTACTCATCAGTTAATAGAAATGCTTTCAGTAAGCCTGGGCATAGCCTGTAAGTAAGCCTTAGCACAATATAGGAAATTTCATGTGATGATAACCCTTTGCAATGGAATATGAGAAGAATATGAGTACAAACTTAGCATACATCTTGTAGTCATTACAGGCAGTTTCAATCAATTTGGCATCAATTGGGGTGACTGGAAGTTAGATGACCAGAAGACGGTGGTGGTGGTTAGGAAATGAGCTGGGGCCTTTTACATGCAGGAGGTTCAGGGGGAACAACCTGATTGTGAAGTGGGCAGTAGATATATTTTTTTAAACTTTATTTATCTAAAAGACTAATCATATCCTATTACTTTATATCCATTCAGATGTTTTACCATAGGAACTGGACTGAAAGGGGGAGTTGCCTTAAGATACCATATGTCTGATTTTGAACCTGTGTAGTTGTTCCCCTTTGCAAGTGCTCCAGTTAATGTGTGGGGATCACCAGTGCAGCCGTGTTAGATTCTCTAGAATTTTTTTCTCTTTGAATGCTGACCCAGCAGATTTGCACTGTTTGCTTTTTCTCTCTTCAACCCCACCGTAGAGAATTATGGTAGTCGGGAATTGGCTCTGTGGGACCAAGAGGTTACCAGAAGTTAGAAACTTCACGAAGAGTAGTGGTTTCTCTCTGTAATCGTGGTTGGAATGGAAAATTGTGCTCAAAGTCAGAAGTAATGCTTATGTCTATTTCACCTATGTTAGTGTTAGTTTGGGTTTTTCTCTCTTTTTTCCTCCCCTGTCCCCTCTGTTTTATGCCTCTTGAATTTTTCTCTTTCAGAGGAAATCAAGTCAATTGAGACACAATTCACATTTTTTCTTTCCAATGTTCAAAGTGATGTACATCAAGGTCGCTTCCCTTCTTAAAGTCATGACACCTTTGGGGATAAAAACAATGCGGGGATGTTTGTTTTAGATAACTAAAATAAACAAAAAACTGGATTATCCAATTATTGTTTATCCAGGAACTTGGTAAATCCAGTTCCTAAATATTTTGCTACTTAGCTGAGCCTTCCCTCACATTTATTATCTAGCAAAACTAGCATGTTTACAAGCAAACAAAATATTGAAAAGACTCATTGACAATATATTAAGAAATGTGTTTTTAGTAAGGTTTGGAAAACAGAAGTCTGCATTTTGCAAGTTGTTTTACTGACAACATTCCAGCAGGATAAACTGGTAACATTTAAAATGAATTAATTATTCTTTTGAATTTAAAGGTGAATTAATGAATAATGGCAGTATCAAAGAACAGCCTTTTTGATACTTTTCTTTTATAAATGCATAGTATGTGAAGATGCTTATCGGTAGATAAATTGTTTTGGTTTTCTTTTTCTGAAATATGTCCAAGTAAATTCTGGCCTCATGCAAATTTTATATGCTTCTCTCTTGTGACTTAGTGCACTAATTTAGCCTGGTATAACTGTTGAAATATTTGGCTTTTCATGGGTCAGTAAATTGGGTACTGCATTTCTCAAGCAGCTGAAACGGGAGTGCAGAACTTCATAATTTTTATTGTACTAATAATTACCTTAATAAAATACATAGCTGTTTCAGAAGCATACATAGCCTGTGCTTTCTCAGGACCCTTAGCATCATGGTGGTTGGGTTGGCAAAAATATTTCAGCAGCTAGATGTGCAATGTGGTATTCTCTGTACCTGATGTATCAGTGTTGCATTTGATATTGATGTGAAATCTTTGTGGGGGGAAAAAACCTCACAAGTGGCTGGAGAGTCTGCTTGCCTTGCTCTTAGGTTAAAGAAAGGCTGTGTCAAAGGGAGAGCGTAGGGAAAAATGGTGTTGTTGCTACCTTAGCTGGACAGATTTGGTGGAAAGATGGAAGATTTATTTCCAGAACATGTCATTGGTACTGCTTTTTGTGGTTATATTACATTTACCTTGTTAGACTAAGAAAAATGTAAGTGCCTCCACAGGATGTACTATGTTGCATGGGTTTGTATGAAAAGTGCAGCAGAGGCCTGCGCAGTGCTGGCCAGCCACCGTGGTTTCTGTCATGGAAACCTGAAGAGAGGATGCAAAGCAGACCCCTCTTCTGCCCCCAAGTGAACTGGGGTTGCATGCTCTAAATTAAAAAAAAACAAAACAAAATACTCACAGATTAAGATAGAAAATATCTTTGTTAAAGTTTTTTGCGCTTAGTACATCCTGTGACTTTCACTGTCACTGAGCATCTTCTCCAGAGCTTTATTTTTAACGTTTATATTAATGCATTCTGGTTAGCATCACTTTACAGGATAGCACCTTGGCAAGAATGTGTATATGTGTGTGCTTCTGACCTTATGTTGTTTTTCTTGGTTATTTCCAAAGGTGTGTGATAGAAAAGGCTATTGATGGGCAGACTGTGTTCAAACTCACAATCTCTGAGAAAGAGACCATGTTTTATTATCGCACAGTAAATGGTTTGCAGCCACCAATAAAAGTAATGACACTGGGGAGAATTCTTGTGAAGAAATGGATTCATCTTAGTGTGCAGGTGAGTAAAATAAAAAGCATTTAATATTTGTTGAAATACAACATTTGTGTGAGAATGGTGTAAGTGTATAAATATAAAAGGGTAAATTGGGGGACGTAAATGATAACTCTTGAGTCTTGCAGGTAAGGATCTTAATTTGGGAGTTCGTTTTGAGGTGGTTGCTAATTTAGCACTGGAAAGAAATGCTGTGGCTGTTCTTCTGAACAAACCAGACTGAAAATTCTTGCCCTTAAGAACATGAGCATTTGGGGTGAAGAAAAGCTACTTATTTCTAGGGTTATCAATAAGTCTTGGGTCTCTGATTATTTCCTAAAAAAGAGAATGCCACCCTCATCTATACATGCTAATGTACTTATCTTACAGAGGTGTGTCCCATTTAATTTTAAAAACTTCTTACAGTGCACATAAGTAAACATGTATGTGTTTGTGCAGCATCAATCAAGCTAGTAAGTTACATAGCTATTACCTCTTACTTTAAAAATATCATTCAGAACTGTTAAAACACAATCCTTGTGTTATAAAAGTCTTCTGTTGACATAACTTTTTAATAAGTGTACAAATATCCACTGAGGATAAAGCAAAATTGAGTTTGTTAAAATTTAAACTGTATGTACAAAAATCAGTAAACAAACACAGAATAAATTAAAATTCAGTTATTTGCATGTCTTGTAATTCCCAACAGATGCTCTAGTAAATTCTATTTGTAAGCCAAGTTCAACTAATAATTATAAAACACAATTATCAGGTATTGAAATGTTTGTCTTCTTCCTTCCTTCATTTCCTTTATCGCTTCTATTAAATTTCATTTGGTTTACAGTACAATCAAGAATAGTTTTGCTGCTTTCTTGAAACTTGCTAAAAGGTATTGACTGTGATTTGGATTTTTAGTGCTGATATTGTCACTTGTAAGAAGTATCTAAGCTGACGTCTTGATTTTTTTTGCAGTTTGCTTTTTTCCAGGATAACAGCATGGTAGTGTGAATAAGATTTTGGCTGTTGGATTAAAAGAGTGACCTTAAGGTAGAACTAATGAACTTTACACTTCAAACACTCCAAGGGTGCTATATTACTGCTGTTGCTGTCAGCTGCATTTTGTAGTAGCCTCAGAAACTGCTAAAGCCTGAGATAGCAAAGTGGAGAGTGAAAGGGCTGGATTTAAATACACACACATCTTAAATTGTATTAGAAAGAACCCTCAAGCACTTCTTAGAATTTGGTCCTTTGTTTCTTTGGGGAAAGTTGTTCAATGCCTAGCAGGAATAAAGAAGTATAGCTCCTAGACCCTTGAAGGGCCTGCAGGCGTAATACCTTTTCCAAATTTCTGAACTCAGGGTAGAACCTTACATTCTGTAGTTTGTGGTATTGTAGGATTCAACTTCCCATTAAAGATGATAATGGCTGGAGCATGATCCATTTAGCACTAGGTCTGGCTATGAAAATTTAGGAAAAGGTTTGGGTTTTTTCTTTTAGCAGCTGTCCAAAAGCATTTTTTTGTATAAATGGAGAAATAAATGGCAAATGAGAATGAGACACCACTCAAAAATATGCAAAAGTAACATTCCTGTGGAAGTGTCTGTGTCTTCAGACAACAGTAGTATTTGATGATGATATATGTTTATATATTGTGATGATACATATTTGATTATAGGTGTTTCCTTAAGCTGATGAAAAAGTCTTCTGAAGATAAAGCTACATAAAAAATATGTAGTTTTATAGGCATCAGTAATTTTAGCTAAAGGCAGTGGGAGAGCCTGGGTTTTACAGCTAAAAGTACAAATTGCCTGATCTTACCAGAAATGTGATTTTTGACTTCTCTGACTAACCAGCCTTCTCCCCAGGTGATATCCATGCAGTAGGTATGGGCACTACTGTGTGGAGGAGAGACCCTTCTGTGGGCTGTAGGTGAGCTACCGGGAGGTAGCAGCAGAGGCGGCTGAATGCAATAATGACCTACTACTACTTTGAGCTTTTCTAAGTCAGTCAGACCATGTAGACTTCCATGCTGTCTTGTTGAGGTGAAACTGCCTCTAATACCTGTAAAGGATTAGCAATCTCAGTTCTGCATCACTGTTGTAGGCATAACCTTTAATTTCTAGCAAAGGTAAGCCCTAGGATTGAGCTCTGTGGCTAGTAAATTAGGAAAGTTTGCAGTCATCCTATGGCTGTGCTGGTTTTGAAGTAGGTGTGGTGTTATCAGTGTAGTTGCTATATAACCTCCTTCTACAGAAACAAAAAGGAAATTGTTGTTAGATGTGAAATGTCATGTACGTGGCTGTGATGTTTAGCCACAAGATCCTAGGTTTAACTAACCTAACAATAGATTCAGCACCTTTTTTAGCTACTTGGCAGAATTTGGAACATTGTTTGGCATTCTTTTTATTGGGATCTAGCCAGAGCTGGGTGACGTGTCCTGATGTAAAAAAAAAAAAAAAAAAAAAAAAAAAAAAAAAAAAAAAATTATATATATATTCAGACTTGTGTGACAGCTTGCTTGCTATTATTTTTGGACTCAAAGAAAATAATGTTTGTGAATGTTCTTTTATAGGACAACTGAGTACTGTTCCCAATAAGAAAGTTTGAAATGTGGCATGGATATATTTTTGTGCACATAACAAAGTTGTATAGTTGGAAAAAATGTAATTTAGAAAAAAAAGGAGCAAATAGTTGCATTGCCCTATTTTGAGTTGTAGGACCCCTAAAAACCTCATCTGTGAATGTAAGAGGGAGAGGGTTGGGATGTGATGCTGTTATACTAAACAGAATCTTAAATAAAGAAATTATGTTCTCTATGCATGAAGCATAATAGGCACAAGCTATTCAGATTATTTTTTTTAAAAAGTATGTGCTTTTACAACTTTTAGGTAATATAATTCATGTACTGGTGGTAACTGAAGATATACGTGATGACATCTCTTTTAACTTCATACCAGAGGTGTGGGCATCTAACCTGTTGACAGTTTCGTTTCCCAAAAATTTTTCAGAAGCATTAAATGCTGAAATTAATATCCCTGGCCTTCAATATGCATGACTTTTTAATGGTGTAGTTTTTCCTACCAAATTCTGTGGTGGTTTAGGTCTGTGAAGGAAATGTGGGTGACAGCAGTGGGTCAAAATAGTTACCTTGTAAATTGTATTGGAAATAAACTTGACCAGATATTCTCCACAGCATATTGCAAAGCGCTGTTGAAAGCCATGCACAGTATTGCATGTTTGTCTGGTGGACAGGGAGGAAAAAAGTTTTTGGCATGATGCCTTGTTGCTCAGTGACTGCAGATCAAATTAATGATCTGATATGTCTAATATGGGGGCAATAAGTCTAATTTGGGATGAGTCTGATTCAGAAAAAAATTTTTTTTACTGAAAGCTAGCACTTCCTGGTATGGTTAGCAAATAGGGGTGTCTAAATGGATCCTGCCCCTGAGAAAAAAAACAATGCTTTTTGGTTGGCTCACAGGGAATTTATGCATCTTGTTTGTGACAGTGCATGTGCTGGCTGGCACACCCAGTGGCTGCAACCAAAGAATGGGGGATTGAGGCATAAAGCTTTGCGTGCCAAGCTGGTGACAGGAATAACAGCCAAGGGATACTGTGGGAATTGGTTTTGATAAGTGTTCATGGCAGATTGGTGGATTTTTGTGCTTGTTTTTTAGCAGGTTGGTTGTAGTTTGTGAAGAGTGTGTGTGTGTGATGTAGCTGACCATGAGAGACACCACTGCCAAGGAGCTAGGGTCTAGGTCTATCTCTGAACACAGGTATGCCTAATATGAGACTGATTCGGGCCAAAGGGCTCCAAAGGCAAGCAGTCAGTAGGAGCTGGGAGCGTGCAAAGAGGGGAGAGTTCCTGTGGTTTGTAGGAAAAACTGAAATATTTGTGCAACAGACACAATGACAGAGGGAGCTGGGAGTGTGCAAAGAGGGGAGAGTGGTTTGTAGGAAAAACTGAAAATATTTGTGCAACAGACACAATGACAGAGGAGCGTGAAGTATTGGCTACAGATGTGACACTGAATTTAGAGGGAGCAGAAATATGGTAGGATGGCAGATATGTTTGGAATTCAGGTATAAGAGCATATGCCTATTGAGAAATGATAAAAATGAAAGCTAAATGGTGGAATAGCACCAAATAGTAATTAAATGATAAGAAGGAAGAAGAAGAAAGGACAGCACAGATGGAAAAGAATTTCTTTGGAATAAAATAATTCTAGGGGAAGAGAAGGCTAGTAAATTAATTCTACTGAAGTAATCTAGGAACTTAAACCCTTGGCTTTGGATTTAGATGTGTAACTCGTTAGAGAGAACTACCGCTAAGAACTGTGTCATTGCAGAGACTTATTCTCCAGTTTATGGTTGGGAAATTAAAGTTCTACTAACAAGAGCAGGCCCCAAACATTCCTGTATGTTCTGCATGAAAGGTTTATTCATAAAGTAGTTGCTGAAGCAGAAAGTCTGGATGCCAGCTTTGTTAACTGATGAGGGCATTATTAGACATGTGGGTCTTAAAAATAATGTTGAGTATTCTTAACTAGATTCAGTTGAAATGGAAGAATAAACAACTCTTTTGTTCTGGAAGTACACTTTTGGGTTTCAAAGAGAACAAACACATAGGACTATTTTAATAAAACAAGGTGAACTGTGGAGGCCAGAGACTGAACGGAAAAAAAGGCCTGGAGGTTATTAAAAATAAAAATAGTCGAATTAAGAGGAATCTCTGCCCTTATGCCAGAGTCTGCAAGCACTGAGGAATGAGAAAGCAAATTCACAGAGAATGCTACATAGGAATAGAAACAAAACTGTAAAAGATGTCAAGCACAATTAGACCTTGCAATGACTGTGAAATGGTAAAAAGTTCTTATGATTTTTTTGTGTAAGAAGGCAAGACCTGTCTACAGTGAAGGTGTGCTTGACATTAAGGATTATTTGAGTAAGGTCTGCAAACTAAATAAATACTCTGCTTCTGTTTTCAATAATGATAATAACAGTCACAGAGCAAAAGCAAGCTG